TGAGGCAAAAAAGATTTTGTGTCCGATGGGTTTGGAATATGAGAAGATACATGCGTGTCCTAATGACTGCATATTATTCAGAAATGATTATGAAGAGTTGAATAAGTGCCCTAAATGTGGGACTTCAAGATACAAAATGAAGAAAGATGATGGTGATTATAATGAGATGACCAAAGGTTCTCCTTTAAAGGTTCTGTGGTATCTTCCAATAATACCACGATTTAAGCGTCTATTTGCTAATGCCACAGATGCAAAGAACTTGAGATGGCATTTTGATGAGAAAATAGGTGATGGAAAGCTTCGTCACCCAGCAGATTCTCTTCAATGGAAAACAATAGATCAAAAATTTCCTCAATTTGGTAGCGAGCCAAGAAACCTTCGGCTAGGGCTTTGTACGGATGGAATTAACCCATATGGTAATCTTAGTAGCACACACAGTGCTTGGCCACTAAACAAATGAGAGACCGTCTGTTGAAGCAAATTGCTGAACGGTGGAGGGATTTTAAGTCCATGCTTACAACACAGTATATTAATGGAAAAAGAAAGGGTGTGCATCCTAAGGAACGATACCAGTTTATTAGCGATGAGGCATGGGAGAATTTTGTGAAGCAACGTGAAGACCCCGCATTTCAGGTTTGGTTTCTTCAAACTTAATTTTTAATCAGGTCATATTTTATTTACCTAAACTAATTTTGTCGATTTGGTTTCATTGTCATAGGCATTGAGTCAGAAGAACAAACAAATATCTGAGCAGAATGTATACCCACATACCATGTCTCGTGCAGGGTATGGTGGGTTGGAAAGAAGTATGATGGAGGAACGACTGAAGAATGCACAGATGGCTGCTGTTTCAGATCCTACTGGCTACATGCCATCCATTGAGCGTCCTTCTCGCCAAGAAAAATGGAAGGCGGCGAGGATTAAAAAGGGTCAATACATTACTCCACAGTCTGCTACTGTTGCTGAGAGGATTGTAAGTAATATTTAAGAATTATGCTTCATTGATTGTTTTTTTTCAATTATCTTAAATTGAATTTGTTGTTTTAATGATATAGGATACACTTGAGGAGCAACTATCTCAAGGTACATTCATCCCTCAAGGACGGATGGATATCTTGGCCACTGCTATTGGAAAGGCTGACCATCCCGGAAGAGTCCGAGGGGCCCCTAAAGGGATTGGTATTAAAGAATTTTTTGGCTCTGCTTCACGAAGAAGCACCAGATCATCCTCCGCTAACATGGTATCTAAAGAGGAGCTCGACCAACGACTACAAGAAGAAACAGAGAGAGTTCGAGCTGAACTAAGTCAACAACACATGGCAGAGATGCAAAAGATGCGTGATGAATTCGATGCCAAGTTTCAACAGACTTTGATGATGATGGGTACGAGCGGATTCCAGATGCCCCGAGTATCTGAACCTTCCCAGGTAATAATCACACATCTTTTTAAATCTTCTAAAGATTCATTTGATCCATTTAAACTTATTTAATGTTTCTTAACTAATTTCATATTATGTTTCAGGGTTCACCTGTGATAAAAAGCGGAAAGGGCAGTAATAATCAGACTGTGCCACTGACAGTGTCTGACCCTGACCCTAGCCCTGACCCTGTCGAAGACAATGGGATGCCGTGTTCTCTCTATGTGGATTATGAAAATTCACATGTTCATGTTGCTAATGGTCGAGCATTCATGGGCACAACGATTCACGGCAACAAAATTCCGAGCAATCAAGCAAGGGTGACAGTGGAGAGGATTGTTCGTGGTCAGGGGGGTACACCAGTGCCTAATCCTACTGATGAGGTTCGACTCTTGGCCCAAGCTAAAGGACATTTCATTTTGTGGCCAAAGAGACTTATTACAAAGCCAATAGTGAAGAAGGCGGCAGCAAAGAAGGCCACAACGAGCGCATCATCTGATCCTGTACTCTTGCCTCTTCCTAGTGATGTTGCGCTTATGTATTCCAGTTTGGAGGTTCTTCATTCCATAGTGCCAAACATGGATAAGCCTGTGACTTTCAAGATGCCGTTGGGGGTTGTGGGTTCAGATATAACATACGACTTCACCATTGACAAGAGGGACCTCGTTCAGTTCCTCAACTTTGAGGAGCTTGATATAGCCTTCATGCAGCTTGCTATTTTGTAAGTTACAATATCATTTTCTTATTACATATTATACTTCATGCATGTCCTAATGTTTTTTACTTGAACAACAGGCATTTTAATCAAATCTGTCGAAACGGAGGACTTGAAAGAACATATGGCTTTATGTGTCCTCAAAGGGTGCAGAAAGAATTTAATACTGTGGAAGCAAGGTCAATCTACATTATGACCGTAATGAGTCAGACCAAAAAGCAAATATATTTTGCACCTTACGTGGAATGGTAAGTGTATTATTGTATTTGAGATATACAAGTTGTATGTGTCGGGTTATAATTAACATGGTTTGCCTTTTGCAGTTATCATTGGACTCTAATTGTTTGTGCCCCTTTTGACAACAAAGTTTACTGGTTCGATTCACTCTGTGGAAGTCCATCCGAAGAAACCAAAGATGTCATCGACACGTTAGTTTTTATTTATATATTTATTACTTGTGAAGTTTATACAAGCATGCTCTAATATCATTTTCTCTTATAATGTTGATAGGGCTTTTCATAGTTTTAATGTCGTGGCGATTAAACAAAATAGACAAGCACCAACATGGATTCTTCCACAGGTATATGTTGTTTTGAACTAACTTTTAAACATTTTTTGATGAATTAAAGTTAATGTTTATAATCAATAATGTCTAATATTCAATTTTATATCTTATTTTTTAAGTATCGTTGTCAACAAGGACATGTTGAGTGTGGATATTATGTCATCCGCTACATGAATGACATAATTGAGACAGGAACGACTGAGAAATTAAACGAGGTAAAGATGAGTTACGTTGCATGACGTTCTTCAATTTATTTCACATTTTTTACTAAGTTTACTATGTTATTTTTGATTAACAGATATTTCAAAATACTGCGCCATATCTCATGGATGACATCAACTTGATGAGGGACACTTTGTCAACAACATTGGTAGAAAAAATTGAAATTTAGCTTTCAAATAGATAGGTTATTTGTCAAAAAATTCATTGTTAGATGCTTTCTCTCGGTTCCCTCTTATATTGTTCATGATTTCCATTGTACAAAGAAGTAGTTACTTCTATTTCAGAATTGTTGGACCTAGCTAGCCAATACGTGTTCCTTGGTTACCACTTAGTTCTATTATGTTGGCCGGTTTCCCTATTTTGGAATTGTGTAAAAAAAAATTTCATTGCTGTATATTAACTAGCTAATTGATCTTGTTCTGCGTGATCTGCACTGCCTACATTTGTTTGGAGCTGTAAACTGCAGGGTGGTAAACACGAAAATTTCACAGAATTTTTTAAAAAAAAAAAATTTAACGGCGGTTATACATATAACCGCCGTTAAAACCATTTTCCACGGCGGTTCTATAGTTAACCGCCGTGGAAAGTGGATTTTCCACGGCGGTTCTATAATTAACCGCCGTGGAAAGTTGACTTTCCACGGCGGTTAACTATAGAACCGCCGTGGAAAATCCACTTTCCACGGCGGTTAACTATAGAACCGCCGTGTTTTCCTTGCCTTTCAACGTCGCCTTCAACAACTACGCCTTCAAAACCGCCGTTAAAAGCCACTTTTAACCGCCGTTAAAAGCCTTTTTTCTGGTAGTGCTATGAACATATTATGATATAATTTTCAATTTTAAAATATTTTCCCCACTATAACTAATTGAATGGACACTTCAACCGCCATTAATTTCGATCTTTGACCATAATGCTAACCCAATATCATGTCCACATCTATCTCACATAAACCTTGTCAAATTAATTGATTTGGGATATGTGATAATTAAGGCAAGAATAAATTTCCAACACGTCTTTAAAATGCACACCACACGCATTTCATTTATATTAAATATGTAGTCAAGATTAATGTGTGAGAGTATTTGGGACCGAGGGGTTGAGATTCCCCACCCCCCCCGGGTCACCATCAAGAGCGGCTGAGATTAAGGATTTAAAATATTAGTCCTTACTTTTTAGAAAATAAAACTGTAATGACTAAAGTTATTTATTGAATGTTAGGAACCGATGTTTTAAATGGTTAAAATTGCAAAGATTTAATTGCATCAAATCAAAGTTTAAAGACTGAATTTTAATTAAGTCAAAACTATAGAAATTGAGTTATTAAATCAAAATTTATATGTCAGTTTGTAGCTAAACCAAAACTATAAGAATTAAATAATTAATTTTTTTAATAAAATTCCTCAATGCTTTTCAAAAGTTTAGAAAAATGTCCTTACTATCATAAAAAAAAAAAAAAGAAGGAAAAAAGTCTTTACCATTTATTTCTAAATTCTGTTAATCTCTTTCCATCTCATGTGTATACTACTGAGGTAATGACCTAAAGAGCCACATTGGTGCCATCTAGTCCATTCTTTTATGTGATTTCATGGGCTCTTAACTTTTACTTGCATTTCAGTGCTAATTTTTTTTTTAAAAAAAAGCAGCAGCAAATTCAGAGCATACTTACTTGTGTGCTGTAATAATCAACCAAGATAAATGCTTCTCCCTTTGTATGTATTCAAAACTTATTATAAACGAACTACGTTAGTCTTTGAAATTGGCTATGCGGTTTATTTTCTCTATTTTAACTGATAATTTAATAACATGAATAGGATTAGGAGCCATTCTTATTCCTGGTTCTTTTTGGGACATTCTCTCATCATATCACCTTTTTTCTTTTTTCCCCCAAATATATGAATCAAAGGGAACATCACAGTCTAAAAGTGATAGAGCCGCTACAAATAAATGACATAAAAAGGGTTGCGTTATATATGGTAGCTTCAAACTTAAATATGAACAACGTAGTTTTATATTAAAATCATTAGTAATATTTATTTCTCCATCTGTTTTTCTCTTTTTTGCCTATTTAAAGCTCAACCATATGGAGACACTGCAGCATATCTATCATTACTTAGCCCTTCACATGATGAACCTATTATTGCTCATTTCGTTTCTAGTAGCAGCTTCAGCTGCTGCTTGCGTTCATCATGATTTCAAATATCTTCATCCATCTCTAAGAATTTCTTGCTTCTTTGCGTCATTCCTCCTAACCCTAGCTACTTTTCATCACTTGAAGAGAAAACGAAGCAAAGTATACTTAGTAGACTTTGCATGCTACAAACCAAACGATTCTTGTGCTTTCACCAAGGATATGGTGATGGAAGCATGGAAGAGCTTTGGAGTTTTCTCAGAGGAGAACCTGAAACGAATGGAGAAAATTATAGATAAGTCTGGTTTGGGACCTAAAACGTACGTTCCTGAAGCTATAATGCAAAAGCAACCAAGATTATGTCTAGCTGAGGCAAGGAATGAGGCAGAGACTGTACTTTTCGCAGCCATTGATGAACTCCTGGAGAAAACAAGGGTTCGACCAGAGGATATAGGAATCCTTGTTGTGACCAACAGTGTGTTTTGTCCCATACCATCGCTCTGTGACACCATTACGAATCATTATAAACTCAGCCACAGCGTCTTATGCTACGATCTCAGCGGCATGGGGTGTGGTGCTGGGGTTCTTGCTATTGATTTTGCCGAAAACCTCCTCCAGGTTCTCCATATGTTCTTTTTCTTTCTTTTTTGCATTTTTGTCCCCTTAATTAAGAATATGAAGAATAATTTAGTGTACCTATCTAACTAATACACCTTAATATATTATTATGCCATGACAGTCACACACTAGGTCCTACGCCGTGGTGTTGAGCGCTGAAATTACAAACACAGGGTTTTACTTGGGCAACAACCCTTCAATGCTCCTTGTCAATTGTCTCTTTCGTATGGGTTGTTCTGCTTCTCTTCTCTCCAATCATCCCTCAGATCGTCATCGTTCCAAATACCAAATCATTCACACACTTCGCACCCACATGGCTTCAGATGACAGAAGCTACAACTGTGTGTTTCAACAAGATGATGACCAAAAAGTAATTGGAGCTACCATCTCCAAAGACCTCATGAATGTTGCAGGTCATGCCCTCAAGTTTCACATCAAATCCCTTGCCCCACTAGTCCTCCCTGTCACAGAAAAACTCAAGTTTCTTGCAACTTTTGCGGGAAGGAAGGTTTTGAGAATGACGATTGAAGCTTATGTTCCGAACTTCAAGTTGGCTTTTGAGCACTTTTGTATTCACACTGGAGGAAGGGCAGTGCTGGATGCAATGCAAGAGAGTCTCGAACTTCAAGACTGGGACATGGAACCTTCGAGAATGACACTTTATAGGTTTGGAAACACATCTTCGAGTTCAGTGTGGTATGAATTGGCTTACTGTGAAGCTAGAGGAAGAATTCAGAAAGGTGACAGAATCTGGCAATTAGCATTTGGATCAGGGTTCAAGTGTAATATTGTAGTGTGGATTGCATTAGACAACGTTGAAGCAGGTTCATTGAAAAATCCATGGAGGGATGAAATTCATGAATTCCCTGCTAATGTCGTAGACTCTCGAAACTGTTAGGAACATCAACATGTCGGCCAATACTATGAAGCTTGGATTATATGCTCCTATATATTGGCTATTGTCCTAATTATTATGTGGTTGTGTTGATGCATTTTGTGCTTTTATATATAAAAATGTTGTAGTTTTGTGGCATATAAAAACTTTTGGCTTCGATGAAAGTTGGGTAGAAAATAAAAATTGATGTTTGTCGATCGCCGTGTGATCCTTTAATTACCTATAGATCGATCTTCTCTTCTGTATTCTTACCATTGCTCATCTTCGATTAATTAGTTTTGAATACCCCAACTCCAATAACTAACTTTTAGTGTGTGATTTGTACTTTTCTTCTTTTCGTTAAATTCCATTTCTATTTCGGACGAAATATTAATTAGGTGAGTTAAACTCCAGCGTGCACAAATTTGAAACTCACGGCAACAATTTCATCCACACTTATTCATACTCTATATAATACTTCCTTGATTTTTTTTGTCCTTAAATGCTAACTAATTTGGACAAATTAATGTAATCAAAGAAATTAGTTAATCATGACGAATGTAACATGTATAATATTTTATTTATTAGTTTGTAAGTTCAGTAAATTAGTTGGAGAAAAATAATATATATGAGAGACAAATAGGATTAAATATTATATTTATGACCAAATCAAACCTTAATTAACTTCTATATTAGGAATTGAAGGGAGTACATCTTATTTATGAAATCTTATACCAATATATAATATATTTCACTTTTCATATGAAATCTAATATAAGTTATGTTATTCGTAATTGATGAAAATATAACTTCTAATGGATTGTGTGTACTATATAATGAATGCATTGCCAAAGAAGATCTCTCGAGATCCGTCCATTGTGTCCTAAAATTTAAAATTTTTTAATTATTTGTAAAAATGAAAGAAATTTAACCATCCAAACATCTATATAAGAAGTTCTAGTCCAGAAAATGACAATAGATTTATACTATTCACTTGTTAGGATTTCTTAATGCTTAAATCCATCTCTTGAGATTTCATAGTAATTTTTCCTAACAAGTAAATGTATTAAGATTTTGTATGGTTGGGTTGGGCCAAGCACAACCCTAGCATGGTGCCCATTTATCTTTGTAAAAATGATTTTACAAAGTCCGAAATAAGTATGTAATAAGAGTTTTGTTTTGATTTAAATGAAAATAATTTTTTAAATATTTTTGGGATTCCAAACACTCTTGAGCCAACTTGATGTTCAAGTGGTAATGACATCAAGCTAGATTTGGCCCTAACCCAAAAAAATAATTAAAAAAAAAGGTTAAAACTATGAAAAGAAAAGCTTGTTCATTAAATAAAGATAACTAGCATAAATGAAAATATATGCCTCTTAAAAATAATATTAACATAAAAATTTATTTTTAAATACGTAAAAATTATTCATGATTTATGCATACTATTAAATTAACAAAATCAATTTAAACTGTTAAATCCAATTGAAGATAAAAATCAGAAACAAAAGAAACATATACATGATAATTGTAAAAGTAAAATATTAAATAAAAAATACGAAGAAATTTTAATTAATAAAATAATTTATATTGACAAAAAACAAAAAAAGAATGAAAATTTTTCGCAAAGATACAATGTAGGGTCGAGTCAAGATAAAACAAGCTAGACTCTAACCATGCGTTCGGCCTGACCAGCTTGAATGGCCCGACCTGCTGTGAGCGAGCAAGCAGAAGCCAGCCCATTAATGGATGTCTCTAATTGGGCTGACAATTGGGATTATGGCCTCATTTTCTTAGGCCTCAAAAGCCCAACTTTCGTGGCACCAAGTAGCCCAGGCCCATCTCTCAAGCATGAGAGGTTTGCCCTCTTGCCAAGGAGACATTTTTTCTCTCTCATAGTTGATAAATTTTCAGAATTTATTTACATTTTTTCCAGCTGATGTTTTACATATTGCATCAGTGAATTTAGATATTATTTTTAAGAAATTCAAATGATTCAAACATAATCTGAATGTTGCTGGTCAAAAAAACATAATCTGAGTGTTTTTATTTTAAATATAAATCCTATCATATCTTTGGAAATAATCCATATTGCGAAGACGCAATAGTATCTGACTATCTGAGTACTAACTATTATCTCCGGTCCTATTTATAAGATCTTATTTGTAGATTATAAATAAGTTCTTATAGATAAGATGGGGGTAGTAGTATCCAATGAGCCTGTTGTTCTTAAAGTGATTGGTTGTTAGTTTATAGGAGGTCATATAAAATCCTACTTTGAAACAATAATATAAGAGCTGGTAAAAAAGAACAATATAAGATGTTTTATTTTGTTTTTTAATAATCAGACATTTTTACCCATATCTCTTTAATTACAAATTGTAAGACGAGTTATTTTGCTTTGAACAGGAGTAGATGTAATACTAATTACTTTTAATAAATAGAAGTAAAAGTGCTTACGGAAAAAATAAATAGAAGCATAAGTGGAACATTAGCTTACTCTTGTACCATTTTAATCATCTAACAAATTTTTATTTGTCTACATGATATAGTTGGAAATAACTTATGTATAAAATCAGAAGTATTAAAGTTGACAGTATAAACTTAAAACTAATATATATATATATATATATATTTACCTACCAAATAAGAAATGCACGCATACGTATAAAACCTAATTAATAAATAGGGAAAAAGACAGAAAAAATACTCTCAAAAATACTACTCCCTCCGTTCCTTATTATAAGAGACAAATAACCGAATTACGTTGAAAAAAAACAGTTAAAATTAGTTAAGAACAATCAATGTGTAAAAAATATAATTTTTTTCCCAAAAATGCCCTCATTAATAAGGAGAGAGAGCATGAGAGAGAACAGTTAAATTATTAAAAGAAAGAGAAGTAGGAGGGAGAGAGAGTGAGTTGGAGACAATAAATATGGGTAAAATAGGAAATCAACACAAAAAAATAGAGACAACTTTTAAGTGTCTCTTATATATAGGAACATGCCATAAGCATCAAATGTCTCTTATAATAAGGAACGGAGGGAGTAAATGACAAATAATGGCAGGTGAATTTCAAAATCTTAATTCAGACCCCAGGCACCATTTTAGAATTTTCAAATCTTGTAAAATGACAACACTATTTTTACTCTCAGTGACTACTTTCATGTAGCTATTGACTACTCTAATTTAACTATTAACTACTTTTGTTTTCAAAGTTCCGGTGACTATTTTTATATAGCTATTGACTACACAAGAGTAATAAATAACTAAACAAAAAGTATTCACTAAATTTCCAACAACACTTAATGCATTTTTTGAATTTTTGAAATAAAAGTAGTTAATAACAGAATTAGAGTAGTCAATAGCTAAATAAAAGTAGTCATCAAAATTTTAAAAATAAAGTTAGTCAATCGCAATATTAGAGTAGTTAGTAGCTTAACAAGAATAGTCATCAGAGTTTAAAAACAAATATAGTTAATAACTAAAAAAGAATAATCAATACATAAGAAAGAGTAATCATCAGAGTTCTGGTGACTAGTCATCAGAGTTCCGGTAACATGTCACTGGAGCTCCGGTGGCTAGTCACTGGCAAGGTTACCGATGTCAAAGCTCCGGCGGCCGGAAGTGCTAAAATGACAGTATTTTAAAAAAATAGTAAAAAAATAATAAAAGGTATTTATATAATTTTACAAGATTTAAAAATTCTAAAAAAATACCTAGGATCTGAATTGGGATTTTGAAATTCACATACCCTTATTTATCATTTAGTATTTTTGAGGGTACTTTACTATCTTTTTTCCTAATAAATAATGTGATAATTATATTTGTTTAGTTTTTCTTTGTCAACTACATTTGCTTAGTTTTGTTGCATAGACTATAGAGCTTTTCTTTTTTTTGACCAGCAAGCATAGACTATAGAGCTTTATTTTGAAAACTTAAGAGAAGGATTATAAGATGTGATGATTATATATGTCGGGCGACGAAATAAAATGTCTGGCTAGAATCACTAGATAGGCTATTCGCTATTGTGCCAACGATGTGAAAGCCTCAAACGTCTTGCTCAACACTCATCATACTTTAATGTCTAGGAAACAAACATGTAACTGTTTTTTTTCCCCTTAAGAAACATATGGAGCATGACTGATTCTTGTTTTTAGAATAGTTTTTTAGTCTATAAAATAAATATATAAGTTTTTTTTTGGAAAATATGTTTTTGGTTACATATTCTGAAAAATTAAAAAAATTAAAAATTGTTCCGAAAAATATTAAAATATTTTCTTACCTTTTGTTCTACAAATTTTTAAAAAAGGTGGAGAAACATGTTTTTATTAAGAATGATTATGTAAATATAAGAACCGATATTTCACCTTTCGTTTTATTGCTTGATATATGTTTCTCAAAGTAATGATTTAAATTTTTGTAGTTTTTGGTTTTCAAAACTTCTTCTAAAAACTATTCTACAGAATTGTTTTAAAAACATAAAAATAAAGAATAGAATCAAACAAGCTCATAACTTTTGCCATTAGCGAAATGAGTTCATGAGTTAAATAGTGATGATTTTTTTTTTTTCCAGATTATGGATATTTGATGCTACTATGTATGTAGTCCCTATATGTGTATTTTCACTAAATATGAATGATTCGTCATAAGTTTCAAACTATTTATATGTGATTATTCATGGAAAATTATGGGTTTTGAGTAGTATATTTGGGTTTGATGTGTTGGAGATCATATTGATGCATTTGGTTGTGGCCAACGTTGCCGATTCTCCCTGCTTATCCTGTTTTGATATTTTTGTGATTTTTGGCTTTTCCTATTGGCTCCAAACATCTCCTAAACTTATTTCACCAATGGATTAATTTAAATTCTCCATAATATATATACGTATGCACATATTTATACAAAGGGAGAGGCCTAACGCCCAAAACTTATGCTTTTATTTGTAAATCACTTTTAATATATTTTACAAGAAATAAGAAAAATTTTAAAATTTATTAATGCTGTCCTAAAATTTTAAAAAA